TCGAGATGCAACCTTCAATCTATGAAGAAATTCAATATGTGTGAAGACAATCCGCAGTGGGACAGCGTGGTTGATTATGGTCTAGTCACCCCTAACTTAGGGTGGGCTCTGAACATTTCAGTGGAGACATTTTGACAGCTGATATACGATATATTGTTAGTAAATGAAGGATAAGTTTTTGTTTCACTTGAACCCTGTTGTAACTTAGTGTAACAACTGTTAGTCGTATAAACATTTATGTACGGACATACAGACATTTTTTATGTACGGAATCCTTACCGATACCTATATTTATGTAGCTATAAATCACTAGAGATATATGATTAATATTGAACAATGCTGTATGAATAATTTATAATAACTGTGACATGAGCATTGTCAAAATACTTGGTCAATGAACCCTGAAGGGGTGATGCAAATTTGGTTAATATCATAACGGTGTTTGACGGTATGGGGTCGCGATCAAAACTCGACTGGTTCTGATCAGAACTGGATAAAGTGCAGTTATTTGCGGAATTTTATTACAAGTTTTAATTATGAGGCTCAACGCCATAAAAAGGGCTTTTGATAACAAGTTTATTGTTTGATTAATTGCTTTGCATCTTTTTATTAAAAAATCACAGACTATAACAATGCAACGCTATTGCATGTAGATCATCGATGAAGTCAGTAATTTTAAAATTGGAAATATTCAAGTGATTTATGAATATTTATATTAATGGTGTTTTTTAATTTAATAATTTATGTGTATTTCTATGTAGTGTATAATCTTTGTTCCTTATTTAGTTAATACTTTGCATACACAAGCTTTCCCTCAGTCTTCATACCATATTTAAAATTAGCTTCCGCACGCGACTCCGTCCGCGTTAAATTAAAAATGTCATTAAAAATGGTATTCAAACAAAAATTCCCATTCTAACGGTGAAAGAATTTTTAAAATCTTCCCAGTAGTTTTTCAGCCTATTCATCATTAACAGCCTTAGGTCGTCCACTGCTGAACGTAGGCCTCCCCCATCGATTGCCACGATGCCCGGTCCTGTGCCACCCGCATCCAGTGCACTCCCGCAACCTTGACCAGGTCATCGGTCCATCTTGCGGGAGGCCTACCTACGCTGCGACGACCTATCCGTGGCCGCCACTCCAGAACTTTTCGACCCCATCGGCCGTCCGTTCTGCGGGCAATATGGCCGGCCCATTGCCACTTAAGGTTTGCAATTCTTCGGGCAATGTCGGTCACTTTGGTTCTGCTGCGGATCGCATCGTTCCTAACGCGATCTCGCAGAGAAACTCCGAGCATTGCCCTCTCCATTGCCCTTTGAGTGACTTTGAGCCGCCTGATGTTGCACGTAGTGAAGGGCCACGTCTCTATTCCGTAAGTCATCACTGGCAACACACACTGATCGAAGACTTTTGTCTTGAGACACTGCGGTATGTCTTGGGACGAGAGGATATCTCGCAACTTCCCGAACGCTGCCCATCCGAGTCGGATTCGGCGATTGACCTCCCTCTCGAAGTTGGACCTACCAAGCTGGACAGTTTGTCCCAGGTAGACATACTCGTCAACAACTTCGAGAGTATGGCCTCCGATGGCTATGGGAGTGAGTGGAATATGAACATTCGACATGACCTTCGTCTTATCCATGTTCATCCTCAAACCCACTCGTTCGGAGGCCCTATTGAGGTCATCGAGCATTGTACCGAGTCCCTCCATGGTCTCAGCCATGACTACAATGTCATCGGCAAAGCGCAGGTGCGTGATGTACTCGCCGTTGATATTGATGCCAAGTCCTTTCCAGTCGAGGACTTTGAAAACGTCTTCCAATGCCGCGGTGAAGAGTTTCGGGGAAATAACGTCACCCTGTCTTACACCGCGGTGCAGTTGGATTGGTTTCGTGTCCTGACTCTGTACTCGGACTGACATGGTGGCGTTTTCGTACAGGCACCTTAGCGCTTGGATGTACCGGTAGTCAATTTGGCACCTCTGGAGAGACTGCAGTACCGCCCAGGTCTCGACCGAATCGAAGGCTTTCTCGTAGTCCACGAACGCTAAGCATAGTGGCAGGTTATACTCCTCGGTCTTCTGTATAACCTGCCGCAGCGTATGTATGTGGTCTACGGTGCTAAAGCCTTTACGGAACCCGGCTTGTTCGGGAGGCTGGAAGTCGTCAAATCTGCGAGCGAGACGATTCGTGATGACCCTCGAGAACAACTTATAGACATGGCTCAGAAGTGAGATGGGTCTGTAGTTCTTCAGGAGAGATTTATCGCCCTTCTTGAAGAACAGAACCACCACACTTCTGCTCCATGCCTGTGGCGTACGTCCCTCAAGAATGACGGAATTAAAGAGCTTCTGAAGAACCCTAAGTGCTGGTTCTCCAGCTGCCCGTAGTAGCTCTGCTGTAATTCCGTCATCTCCGGGCGCCTTGTTGTTCTTAAGATGTTCGAGGGCTGCACTAATCTCGTCGAGACTGACGTCCGGGATGTCTTCGGTATAGTGTCGGGTTAATCTGGCTCTTGGGTCTTCAGCCAGATCAGTGACGGGTTTCTGCGTCGCGTAGAGCTGTCCATAGAACTTCTCAACCTCGCTTAAGATCTCAGGTCTAGCGGACACAACCCTACCCTCCTCAGTCTTTAGCTTTGACAGTTGGCTTTGCCCAATAGACAGATCTCGTGCAAACACTTTGGAGCCCTTGTTCCGCTCAATAGCCGTTTTAACACGGTTTGTGTTAAATTGGCGTATATCGCGCTTTATGCTCTTTGAGATCTGTCTATTTAGCAGCCGAAACTGCTTCACATCTTCTGGAGAGTGTAAAGTCATGTCACGCCTTTCCTTCATAAGCTCAAGAGTGTGGTCCGAGAGTTTTCTGGACGAGCTTCTGCGGTGGGTCTTGAGGAACTTAGTACCCACCGTCTGAATAGCTTGCACGAACCCGTCATTCATATCGTCCACGCTACTCCCTAGGCAATCAAACCGGTTCTGGAGTTCGAGCTGAAAGTTTACAACGTCTTGGATATGGACGGATGCTGGCCGGAGCGTAGACACTATCAGCCGACTGCGCTCAAGCTTGACGTCGATATTCAATGTGCCTCGGACAATTCGGTGATCGCTCCCGGTTTTAACCGCATTGATCACTGAGACATCATTGAATATTTGCTTTCGCGTCGACATGATAAAGTCTATCTCGTTCTTTGTAGCACCGTCTGGGCTCATCCAGGTCCACTTCCGTTGCTCTTGCTTCCTGAAGAAGGAATTCATCATAAAGAGTCCCTCCTTCTCCATGAAGCCTGCCAGTAAGTGTCCCCGGTGGTTGCGCTGTCCATAACCAAAGTTACCCACTCGCAGCTCGTCTCCGTCCCGTTTGCCCAGTTTCGCGTTGAAGCGTCAGCCTATTCAATACAATCAAACAGAGTTTTCCCCTTTATAATACGAGTATAGATAAAGATGACATTTTGTGTAAAGTGTTAATGTGAAACAGATTACCTCTACTTCGCAATAATAACTAAATTTCGTTTGCTTCGTTACTTATATTTTATTATTAAAATTAACCAACACTTTCGCTATATTGTATTAGGACTGGGAACCGCGTGTAAAACAAAACACGGTTCAAATTATCTCAGAATTGTCTCCAACAAGTGATACGTCGCCCAAAACGTAAAATGGTAAATATAATCCAGCGACAATGGGCCAACTTAAATTAATATAATAACAACATTGCCAAATATTTTCGTTCATCTCAATGGATACGAGGTGTCATTTTCCTCGCATCTGTGAGAGAAAACGTCTCAATGAAATTATTTACTTTACGCTTTTCGGCAACCCAATGGTTGAGTAGTTAGAATACTTCGCGAATCTTGGTTCTATTCCAAGAGAAATAAGTTTAATACAAACTGTAATTTTGTATGAAAGTATTCTAGGAAATGAAGAATATTAATTAAGTTTCCTCAAACTTTACGAAGCTTTAAAATATACTTTTGAAACTATGCGCTACAGACACTAAACGCCTTAAAAGTTCAATAAATTATTTATCTGTTATTTTAAAAAATAAATTTAATATCTGTACAGCGATATTACAAACGTAACAATATCGTTTTTAAAGTGATGTGAAAATTATTTTAATTACTTCAAATGTCTAGGAATTAAAAATGGATAGATCTTGCATATCCTATAGATCAGGTGTATCTTTAGTCTGTGGGCGGTAATCGGTTATCATTTATGTATATTTAAAACAATAAATTAATAAGCACAATCGGAATCGATTAGTTTCGGCAGTAAGACTTTAACTTACGGAAGTAAGGGTGATGACTGTTCGCAAATTTCATAGAACTTATAAAATAGCTAATTTTGCTTACGGTTACAATTTTGACGGTGATACAAAATTAAAAATATTATTTTAGTGCACTACCAAATAAATTTCCACGATAAGCTATGTAAAACTTGATAGAAATTATTTTTATCTGGTATTTCAGAGAAACATTACGAGTTCTACCTACCATTTGGACAATAAATTGGAATGAGACTTCTATATAACAATCAATATTTTATCTATCTATCTCTTTCGAGCGATTTAATCCTTAGTCCTAAGATCTTTCTTAGACTTAAATTAGTAAGCCCGTTAATCTAAATAAAATAAAATATAAAAATACATTTTTAAAATTATAAAATTATATTTTTATCGCTTCGTTTTACTCAGCTTTCTTACATTTTTGGTTAGTGTTCTACTCGTATAGTCAACTACCTACAAGATTTGCAAAAACAAAATATTTACTGTAGTTAAATTTAAATTTATGAAAAATAAGTAATAAAATGTGTTACTTATACTTTGTAATATTTGTTACCAGTAATTTAGGTTGTACGCGAGTAATTTTAGCGTCAAGTCTAGAATTTGTAAGGTTCAATAATATTTTTTTAACGAAATTACTATCAACGATATCGTTTGTTTTACTCAAAAGAAAAATAATTAAACAAGATATTAATGTCAATGTTAACATTTAATTCTTACCTTATATTTCATTTTGATTATTTTCTATAACTAACACAAACACTCAAACTAAAATATTGTAATAAAAAATTACAATATGAAGTATTTTCTCATGAACTTTTTATTCAAATATCGAACTGCGTTTTCGCGCCACGAGAAAGGCAAAAGCAACGCGCATGCGTCCAGCGAACGCGCGGCAATGGTCGCGCCGGCGCTTCTCTGGCGGTTTTGCTTCCCCGCCATCGCGGTGCAACGACCTAACTAACGGGAGGTTGCCAACTTTTGGCAACTATTAATTAATTACCGATTTGAACCCTTTAATGTTTTAACGTGATTCTTTTCGAGACTAAACAGGAAGGAATAAACCTGACGACATTCGAGAAACTGAAGCATTGTCTAAAGCGTCGGTCGGCGTAAAGCGGACTGCGAAACATGCGATCGTGGGTTCGAATAGGCGGCGATCTTTTGCTATCTTTTTTTATTACATAACTTAAAAGAAAGCAATCGCAACCAAATCTAAACAGGCAAGTAATTCCTTTCCGTTGTGATATAAAAAAAATGTCTGTAAATTATTTTTTCCTTATTGAACGAGAATAGATTAAAAAATCCACTTAGGTATAAAGTAAATGGCACAAAAAATAAATCCCGCATCGTGTAGTCACTTGGGCACAAAGCAAGAGTAGTATAGGCACAGCGCTGCAAGGTGAAGGTGACGCGCGGTTCGATGTCAACATAGTTGCAATTTCGATAAATCTGTCACTAATGGAGGTTTCACTATTTCAAGCGCATGTCTTAATCTCAAACTCGGTAAATTAATAATTGCCTATTATTGCTTTGTTTCAACAGATCAGTTTTATTCGGTTAAGTAAGAAAGAATAATCCATATATTTAAAAAAGTAGTATTTAATTACCATTACCACAAAATTCTTTGTCCGGTTAGGACAGTAAATGTTTCGGTGACTGCATCAAGATTTATTCGCCATGGTGCAGTTATCGTTGTAAAACTTTGATCGAATATATCACTATACGCTGTATCGACCCCATGTCCCGTACTACTACCCGAAGTAAACGATTTTTAAGTCTACGCAAACTGAGGTTTCGTCCAAATAAATTAATTCCATATATAGTAGAGTATACTCGCGGATAAACAAAATACTTAACTAAAGTACGTATAAAGGTTATAATTAGAAATACAAAAATCAGTAAAATACAGCTTAGAAACGTTAGTTTTTTTCCACCAAAAACGTAATCTAGATGACCTTAGGTTACTTAGCACTTTATTACCTGACTTTCCCTAACAAACGAAATCTAACATAGCCGCTATTGTACACTCTAAATTGTTATAAAACAAGGACGATAAAAACGTAATTTATGGAAATGTCAGGATATTTCGTTTTTTTTTTAAATTTTCTTTAGTTAGTATTTTTATATTGAATCAGGGTTGAGTTATAAGAGTGCTTTTGTTTTTGATATTCTTGGACATTTTTAAATAACGGATACTTGATGAATATTAAAAACTAATGTAAGTGAAATTACTTAGTTGCCAAACAAGAAAATCTATGTAGGTTACAATAATTGTAAACTGTTTTTATTACAATATTTTTACTTTTACAGACTTCATATTACAACGCCTTAAAATAAAAGATAGGATTATAAACGTATTTTTCGCTTTGCTTTATTTCTTTTATAGGCGCGTTATAGGCGATTTTCTGTCAGCAGTAAGAATTAGAAAAATCACCGATATGTTTCAAAAAACATCGATACGAAATGTTGTCAATATTATATCATCACCATCATCTTCACCAGCTCCCTATAATTCCCCACCGAGGGGCTCGGAGCCTACCCTAATAAGGGGCGGGCGGGAAATTATATCGAATTTGTCGAAATACTTTAAAATACACTTCGATGATGTTAATCAGTCATTCCCTATACTTTTGCTGTTCATTCACTTTTCTTCATTTATACAAATGAAAATAATGTCTATCAGCTGCTATCGCAACTAAACCGAAATGATCACCAATTTGATATTTCAACGATTTGATTGTTATATATTTGTTACGATGTAAGATATCGAGATATCGATATCTTACATCGTAACCTATCCATGTTCAATGCCCTACATGCCCATGCCTATAACTATAACTAACAAAATGGCGGTAACTGTCAAAGTTTTGTTTGCGTTTTTGTAGTAGCGTAATGTCTCGAAAAGAAATATATAAGTGTTTTCTAAAGTGTGTGATTAATTTAAGCGTTCAATTGTCGTAAATCTATTGGTTTATTAGATATTAAATGAAACTTTCTTGAATTGACAATGTCTCGCGATATTTCTCGAAAGTCGGGTTATGACCGCGGTGGCGGTTGGGACCGAAATTATTACAGAAATCAAATGCAGAGGAAACGGAGCAGAAGTCCTCCCAGTAGAGAGGGTAAACAACATAGCCACACGCCACAGAAATCTGAAAAAGACATAATAGATGATAATATTCTAAATGAGATATCAAAACTCCCAGAACCTAATGAGTTATGGGATAATCAATTTCAAGAAGGTTTCGGCGGAAATGCACCACAGTCTTTTAGTCGAGATGTAAATATATTGATTAATAATTATGTATTTCTAAACGTTTTGATGTTAATTTTAGGTTCTGAGTTATAAGAATATCAAATATTTACAGTGGTATACGTCTTTACAAAAGTCCTAGCGGCTCAAGGTCATCTGCACCTTGCGCAGTGCCCTCTGTACGCCGCGATACGTTGTGTTCTGTAAAGCCACAAAGAAATTTTAACTACAATATTTTATTCCAAAATAGTATATGTTTTATCAATTCTTCAAGGGTGGAAATTATCCACGCAACTACCAGCCGCCATATCCTGTTGGATATGAAAACTTTGGTGGTGCTATTCCTCCAATGCCACCTGACCCCTCTGGATGGAGTCAGCCAGCTCCGACCCAGCCTGTGTTCAATAATGTTGAAGAACAGATCAAAAAAGAAGGTAAGCTAATTGCTATTTGAGACATCATAATTGATTTTAATCACAGTTTATCTAAACATTTCTATTATTGATGATGAAGGTGAGTATTCTTCTGTAATAAGAGACTTTAAAACAAAATTGTACCACTATTTATTGAAGAAAAAAAAAAATAAAAAAACTACTAGAGATGATTTGGGGCATTATATTAATGGTATTAGGGATAATTGTCTTACCTAAAGCCCCCTGCGGATGCTCAGTTAAGTCAGAGTTGAACTGTTCGGTTAGATTAGTGTTTGCTTAGAAATTTATTTTTATTAAATCTTGACATGGTAAGTTTAAGATATGTGTGCATATGTTACTGTTACCAAACATGTTTTTTTGAAAATTGAAAATATATTGCTTTTTCTTAGATAGTATTTACAGGAATTCATTTGATTTCTACTGATTATTGGACTCCGAGAGTTACTGGTTACTGATGGCGTAGGGTTGATTCAAATCCCTTTAAATCATGCAGGTGTTTTCCAAATGAAGTGTTAAACATATACCAAATTAGTGCATCTTACATACCAGGAGCTAGCTTTTTAACTTCTATTTTAAATGTACTATCAAGGAATCTACCAGTGTTCCAACTTAAAAGCTATTGTCGTTTGAATGTTATGTACACATTGAGATGAAAATATAGAATAGTAAGCAAAAGGACACAGCTAAGATGGGTTAATGGTACATGATTGATTGCTTTTTATTACTATTCTATGTTTACACAACTCACTGCTGCCTAATTGGTTATTTGTAAAAGGCAAAATTCATCTCATTGAAAGCATCATGACAATTTTTATGTAAGTGGAACACCGCAAAGGGCCCTGACTGTACACCAGCAATTGGATACCCCATTAATCCCATTACTGAGAAGAATCACAGTGAACTTAACATACAATTTTTTAATAGTATTTGCTATGACTGAATCAATTAAGGTTTGCAGCTTTTACTATTTAAACATTTTAATAAATGAAATTCCCTTGGTTATTCATATAAAAATATATATATAACTTTAAATTTTCTTTCAACAGCGGCAATAGAATCTGAAATGCGTCATCAAAAGGCGGCTCTGTCCAAACAACGTGAGGACTGCATGAAGAAGGCAGCAATACTCAAAAAGGAGCTGGAGACTCTCAAAGAACAGAGGAGTGAACTATATAATGACGCCAAACGATCCCCGAGTCCTGACACCAAACGCTTTCTGAAAGAGAATACAAAGTTACAGGTTTGGTTTACAATTGCTTATACATCTTTTATTATGCTGATTTCTATGATTTTATTAAGCTTTTTATTATTGTTTCTAATGGCGCAACTTGTAATATTGATATAGTTGGAGATACAAAATAAATTGAAGACAATCAACAATGTAGTCGACATGTTGAAAGGTATCATCGGAGAAGAAGCAGACAAGAATGAAGTTGAGGATTCCGGGGAACGCAGCTCAAAGAGGAAATCTAGGTGGGTAATATGCTATGTGTTATATTTTTTAAGATATTAAATCTATTTGTATATGATTTATAAGAGTATAAATGAAATTTTTAAGTTTTTGACAATAAATAGCTTTAGATATAGTGAATGTCTCCGACTACAGTGAAGATGTCAGTTTGTGGATTATCAAGCAATACAATCTTAGAAAAGGCAGCATAACGAAGGAAGGTTTTTGTTATTATATTGTTAATTTGTTTTTTATGTTGGTACCTTTGTATTGAATTATTTAAGTTGTCACATGAAAAATATTGCTTTCAATTCATTGCTTATGATTTTTTTTTTATGGCAAAGAATAAGTTATATAAAACTTCTTCAATAAAATACATGTTAATAATTACTGCTGTTTATTTTACTATCCTTTCTTCTATCCGAATTCTTTATATTAAGTTTGTAATGTCAAATTGTATTGTATATTTTTATGATTTCGTAATAAATAACTTTCTTTGATATCCCTATTTTTATTCATGGTTTTTATATTAATTGTGTCAAAAACATTCCAATATTGCATTTGTTTTGTATTGCCTCATATTAACACAATGGAAGTATTCTTTGGCTTAACAATGAACTTATTTTAGTTCATTACGCCAAAAAAAAATTTACACATTCCGTAATTTACGGAATAACTTCGAATTTCTGTTTTACAGTTACGGTACAAAAAAAAATACTTAGTAAAATACGTTCATGGTTTGCATATATGTAGTTAAAATCCATAATAATTGCTTATACTATTTATAAGCATTTAAAATGCCGTGTATTTTTATATGTAAATATTATTTTTTATTAAGTGCATATCGCACTTTGTAATAAAAAAAATATCATACGTGATCCTGTCGTTGATACGCGATGCCTCTTACCAATAAAGAGTATTACATTTTTATTAATATTAGTTTGTTAAAATTTTTGATTTCTAAGGGTTACTTACACGAACTGCAATAACCAATTAGTGCCAACAGCCAAACGTAATGTCTATAGTTGTCTTTGACTGTATGGTTTTAATTTGAAGCGACTTATACGTTGCCTGTTATCAGATCTCCGTCTACAAAGAAGTTCAACTACGTGTACTATGACCCGGAGATGCACTGGTGCCGTGTCTGTAATGAGTTCCCCGCGACAGCTAAAGACTACCTCACTCATCTGCACTCGCCCGCACATCACAAGTAAGATATTACGCCATATAAGAGATGTTTTGTCTCGTATGTTTTAAAGAATCTGATTTTACAGTTCAATGTAACCTTCAACTTTATTGTTGCTATTCTGTACCCTCGTTGGGGATTATTTAATTTAGACCACTTTGATAATCGCTGTCTCCCCCAAATATGTTTCTCTAGGTTATTCCGCTGCAATCAGTGCGATGGAGATTGGTGTCTTCTTGTATAAGATATTACAATGTAAACTTATAAACTAAAATGTTCTATTTCAATGTGTGTTAAATAATTATTCTGCAGGATGGCGTCGTCCCACATGGAGGCGCCGTGGCACTCAGTGACGGGGATGAACGAGGGCTTCCCCAACTACCCCTCCGCGCCAACCAAGCGCACACCCATTAGAGGTTAACATTTATTTTTACTTCTATACTAAAATAATAAAGCGTAAAACACATTTCTTTGTTATTTAGGATGTCTGTAATCATATTTTTGAATTAATCCTTTATTAATAAAAAACCTTACTCTTAAGACATGATATGGGCGGTACATTTTCACGATATTTTATAGAGTGAATGAAAAACAAGTCATGCGGGAAAGAGACAGAAACTACAACCCAAAGCACCAAAGCAAGATTGATAGTAACGGTATTTGTTATCCAAAAGCAAAGACTTTTGTTGTCATCTGTGTATTTATATGTAGACATTTGCAAGAGAAACAGCTTCTCCATTACATTTATAGTTTTAAAGGTTTTGGACACTTATTGTGTTTATGCTGTAGGTCTGCAGTTCTTCGTGCCGTCGACGGCGTGGTACTGCAAGCTGTGCGACCAGTTCATCGGCGACCTGCACTGCGCCAGCGCACATCTCAAGTCCATACTGCACTCCAAGAACTACACGGTGAGTTGACACTCTCGTATGTACTGTCTCACTTTATCAAACACTAGCTGCCCGCGTGTGATAAAAAAAATTAAAAAACATAGCCTATGTTACTCATAGATGAATTAACTTTCTAATAGTCAAAGAATTTTTAAAATCGGCCCAGTAGTTTTTGAGTTATTTCAATACATACAAAAATAGAAATCTTTCCTCTTTATAATATTAGTATAGATTGCATTTTACATAAAATGTTTCAACCTATTTCCAGAACTTCGTTGAACAGAACCCTCACTGGGACACGGACTGGATGTCTGACAGACAGAAGGCTTTTGAAAAAAGTAGACCCAAGGCCAAGGAGGAGGAGAAGACGCCTTACGCCGCGCACACCATCACCTTCTGCAAGGACGGCTTCCACACCAAGAGGAAGTCCAGCCCCGACACAGCTGACAAGAAGCGGAAGAAGGACAGAAGGAAGAAGAAGAAGAACAAGAGGAAGGTATCCAGCAGCGAGTCTAGTAGCTCCAGCAGCTCGGACAGCGATGATAAGAAACGTAAAAGTAAGTAATTTTCGTAATAGAGTCAAAATAATCAAAAAAAAATTAAAGCGGGGCTTTTTGTATATTACAATAGAAAACATTTCAAAAGTCGAATAATAATCGTCTATTTAAGTATAATATTTTGTTGCTTTTTCATTTCTTAAACATTTTAAATAATTACAGAGAAGAAAGAGCATGGGATAGACAAGAACGCGCTGTCAGAGTGGATGTCATCCATACCTGTCAACTTTGACAGGAAGCTGCTTGACAACTTGAAGTACAGAGTAGAGTGAGTACACACATCACGCCTAAATAATATATGTCACTGCATTATACCAAATAAAAATAAAGTAAAAACGCAATTTTAAATAGTTTTTAAAATTTACTGTCAAAACATTAATTACTACACTAAATTAAAAAAAAAAGCTAAGACGTTTAATTATTAAATATTTATTGATTATCACATAGGAAGGACCGACGCAAATCTCCTACACGCGAAGTTCAAGAACGACGCAGCGAACGGAGGTCAGAAAACAAAAGAGAAGAGAGACAAGATAGGAGAGACGACAGAAGGAACGAGAGGCCGGAGAAGAGAGAGGACAGGTCTGACAGAAGAGAGGCACCGGAAAGAAGAGAGGAGAGGGCGGAGAAGAGAAACGAGGCCCAAGAGATACGGGAGAGTTCGCGATCCGCTCAACAATCAGAAGTAAAGAAACCAGAAATTAAGAAAATGCCTTTTATTGGTCAGTTTGCCACTTTTATGAAGGGAAAATTCATATTTATTGTGTAACATGTTTATTTCAATACGTCTCTGCTTTTGCAGGTAAAATGCCCGTGTTTAAGAATTTATCAAAGACAGCAAAGACTGAAGAACAGAAAAAGGAAGAAGAGAAGAAAAAGCAGGAAGAAGAATTAATCAAGAAGAAAAGGGAGGAGATGGATGCGGAGATACAGAAAAAGGTAAAGTTTTTTATTTTAATCTTTGTTAGGAAAAGGGATACCCCCTTTTGTTTTTTAAAGACATGTCAATCCCATAGTGCTACTCTTAGGCTTTAAGAAACGAGGTGGCATAATCGTACAGCTGCTTCGAATGCTGGCTCAGCCATAAAAAGGTGAAGTTATGTTCATAATCTTACTCGATGTATTACACAGTTTGTAACAACACAAATACATGTTACGTTTTCTACTCCATGTAGAAAAGCTACATAAGATTTGAGAGAATTTGAAATGGAGCACATTAACATTTGTATAATATGTGTCGCAGGTGGCGATCTTCAAGGAGAAGATAGCGAAGGCGCAGCTGGAGAAGCAACAGGAGCTGGGGCTGGCGCTGCCGCTGGGCTTCATGCCGCCCTGCCCGCCCGCGCCCGGCGCGCCGCCGCCCGCCCCGCCCTGCCCGCCCTGCCCGCCCTGCCCGCCCTGCCCGCCCTGTCCGCCGCAGATCCTGCCGCCGTTAGTACACTGCACACTGCAGACATTCCTGCATTACTATATTAACTGCACTCGCCGATCTGCACCTCACGATTAAAATGAGTGAGGCAGATCGGTAAACCGACTCACAGATCAGTTCGGTTTGCACCTATATTTTGCATGAGATGCGCGTCAACGAATACTTGAGCCGTGAAGTGCTGTATTTAGTTTTCGAACTCCAGCTCAATGGCTTAAACTATGTGTGCTGATCTCGTAAAACTGGTTCAGAGTGTATTTACACACGTCTAGAATTGCTTTTCATTCAAATCTTATGGTAAATGGTTTTCAGTGGTATTATTATTAAGTAAACTTTGCAGGCCGGTCCCGCAGCCGCCGCCGCCGGCCAACAACCTACCCAAGGACTTCCAGGAGGCGCTGGACATCATCTTCCCTTCGAACACAAAGCCCTCGGACTTATCGCAGCAGGAGTTATTCGTAGGAGGCATGCAGGGCTTCGCCCCTATGCCGCCAGTACCCTTCGCCCACCTGGGCCTCGTGCAGCCGCCCATCTCCCAGATGTCGCCCATGTCTCCCATCATGATGGGCTTCGACATGAACCCGCAGCTGTTCCCCGCGCGCCCACAGCTCTACGACACGCACGTGCCTATTGTGCCAGGACAGCAGAGGAATAACAAAAATGCAGTTCAAGAAGCACATAAGATAGAAGGAAAAGAGAAGAATAAAGAAGAACTGGACGAGCTCGCGATGCTGGGTATCGACGCGACGGATGTCGGCGCCGGCATGTGAACCACGCATGATGACGTCATAGTACACATTTTACTTGATTTTCGATGGCCACTATATTATATTTGAAACGCATGTTTTGCAAATACAAAACTAAGCATTACTATGATTAATTAAGACCTTATGTATAAAATAATATAGATAACAAAAATCTACAAATATTAGTATTTGTGTAGTTAATTTTGAAAACAACACATGTGAGAAAACCCACATATTGTTAGATGTATAAATAAATCGATTTGTCAGATATGTCGTTTTACAATGCAGTTGCATAGATTATTAAATTTTATGATCTTAATATGTCGGAGTACTTTATTCGCATAATAGAGTTTTATGTTTTGGTCCTGTATTGAACAGCAGTGCCAAATGTGAACTATGAAATAAAATAATTTACTTAAAAAAATGATTTTTAATAGAAACTGATGATAAACGAAACATAGACCGTTAATTAATATTCGCGAAATCTGGATTTTTTTCCATATTACATTAACTGTGTACAACTGGTACATTTTGTATGTAACAAATTGTTTTTTCATATGGTTTATTTGCGAATATTTTTATTATGTTTGACTTTATGAAGTTAACATGTTTGTATGAACATGAAACTATGATTATGTAATATACCTTAGGTTGAAGAATTTTTAAGTAATTATGTACTTATAAATGTAACGATTTATTGAGCAATAAATTTTCAACAATATGTTTCATTCTTATTTTATCCCTTACCCAAGTAAAGGAAATATCGAATATAATTTTACCGCATTCCTATATTTATGTAATTAGCTATCCATTAACATTGATTTTACAAAATTTCCCTTCCATTATAGAAAGTCTCGAACGGAAACATATTGCTATCTCAATTTTGTCAAACAGAATGAGCGGGAAAACATAACTGTTGCCAGTGGAAATATATATGACAGATTTAGGGTCTGTTACACAGACTGAAGCGTAAAGCAAAGTAGATATTCGCTTTATACGATTTAACGAGGGTGAATTTTAATTATACTTTTTTACGTTTACTCTTGATAAGAGAAGACGTGCAAAATAAAACTAAATCTTGTTTCAATTACCTTAAAGAGTAATTTTATTTGCGGTAAAAATCTGCTCTGCTCCACGCTTCAGTATGACTGAACGGACCGAACTGTTTGGTAAAACGTTATCTTAACACTTGACAAAGCGAGCGTATACAAATGTCGCTCAACGATGAGGATGTTATCGCACAACAAAATCTTAGTCACATAATACAGACAAACCAACTAAAAAACTGACTAAATATTTACAAAAATAAGCACTCGAAGAAACTGTCGCTGTTGTATTGCGACCAGAGTTTTTGCTAATAGCTAAAGGTCACTACGCACTGAGAGGCGGTATCTGTCACGACGATGCGCTTTTTGTGACCCGCACCATAACCGCGAGGGATCAGCAATTTCAGCAATATGAAATTATTCATATGCTTATAATTTTTTAGTACATCTTAATATATCTATATAAAATCTTTCCAGAGTGAAAAACATTAAATTGATCTTGTTGTATGAACCAATGACTTGCAAAAACAATCTCTGATGATGAAATCAGTATTTTTAGATCATGTCGTGAATCCTATTACTTCCGTTCAAAATATTTCACAACATTAAAAAAAATTGCCAGTTATACAAAAATACATTCCGTAATATATTTATTAATGTAAATAAGCACTACAATACACTAATTTCGTATGCGTTTTAAAGAGTCGAGTAATACGAGAGTAAGCTAGCCGGTTTTGACGAATATCTTTTTCGAATTCCATATAGTCTGCCAATTAAAACTCTGGACTAACATCGTCTTGGGTCAGTACATAAAAAGATACCGTAGTCAGTTTTATACGAGTAGTTATAATATTTTTAACAATGCTTACTCAGTGTTAATCTACTCGTAAAGAGTCACATTTTCGAAAACTACGCATTACGTTTTAGAGAGATTTAAAATGGGCAACGATAAAAACATTTTTTATCGATAAAATCTGACATCCTCTATCGTACTGTCTGCTTTTTGATCGAATACATCTTGATCAATTAACTTTAAAAAATAGTACATTTAAACGCGCGGCAAATACGCGCTAATGGACACAAACCCTTATACTTCTATTACGAATAAGCCAAAAAATAGGTTCGTTAACGTTTAGAATAGTCCAGAAAAGAATTGATAGACCAATATCACCTCCATCATCGGATGTCCGGTGTCTGTTATTATTACATTATGAAGTCAACGGCCTATTGAGTAAAACGATATTTATTTTTAATAACATAAGTCGGAACGTAATAAATAACTATAGAAATGATTCCTGTTTCCTTATTCTATTATTTATTTGTAGTCATCTCCTCTAGTTCTTTTGCTGAGGCGATTGAAACTTAGTGCTGTGTTCTGACGCAATGCAATATAAAAACAATGTTGAAGTTAATGCAATATAATAACATTTACTATCATTAAATTAAATAAATAATGAAGAAAGCAATGATGTAAATAAGTAATGTAATAATTTTATGTTTCCTTTTATCTGTAGATTAACTGAACTCTAACATCTAAACAAGACCGATACTCTGATTGTGGTTAGTCTAATAAAAACACTATAGCGTGTCAATTTTGTTAGTTCCTTTTACCGTATTAGCATTGTAGATTTACCTAATTTCACGATCAATGCCAACAGGACATTGAATTTTACAGGCCAGTGCTTTGAGCGAGCTAGGTCGAAGCTGTCAGTCGACACGCGTAGTGTCGGCGAGGCGGCGTAGTGCGGCGGACGAAAACTAGCGTTTTATTGCATCATTGTTTTGTAAGTGCTAAAATATATAACGTGTTGAACATGGACTGTTATTCCAGTGCTAATCGTTGATACATCGATACCGTTTACTGTGACATCTACAGGCTGTAAGTTTTGTTATAGGTAGGCTTTTCAATTATTCATGTTTGTGGTCAATTATGTTTATTTAAAAGATTTGTATTTGAATTGTGATATTGTAACTAGGGGAAATTTTTACTAAGTACTAAGTAGATTAGGTTTTATTAATTAGACAAAATTAGGCGGGTTTTAGGTAAAGTTCGCAGAAGCCACGAGTTCTGGGTTCAAAATTTTTCGGGTGTATTTATCTGGTGTATTATTAACGTTAATTTATGCTTGATCATAAATTACTCTATGTCCAATAAGAAACAAATGCTTATGATAAAATATTGTATAGAAAATAAATACAAAACAAATCGTACAGAACTAAAATACAAAAGTATAGCATAAATGTAAATTTACTATTCTTTAAAACTTAAAATGGCATAGGCAGAATTGCTATCAATCAATACACTCCACCGCATACGATAGCGCATTGTATTGTACATTTTGCCATAACATAAAAAACTGATAACGGCTTTTTTATAATAAACATGTCTATATTGTTTAATTTTATTAACATAGTTACGAATTGGCAATGGGATAAATATTACTTCATAGCAATGTAGGTTAGTAGTAACTATACGATAAATAGAAAAAAACTAAAAAAAATCATCAATGAAAACTGAAATGGTCGATGAGAACTTAGCTATGGGCAAGCTTTCGCTCTCAGCTGTTGGTAACAATTTATGCTATAGGGAAAATGATACGTGTTTCCCGTTATTCGACACTGCAAACGTTTTATGATTCTTATAACAATGGTTGGGGAATTACCGAATTTATTTCGATGAAATGAAATAATTAGAATAATCATAAACAATCGACGACCGTTTGTAACACAAGGTATGGGAAAAAACAAAAAATGATTCTACAGGAAAAATCAAATCGGATATTTCTTTAGGGCGGGTGCACACGTTTGAATAAACTATCCCACAATTGTTGTGCGATTTTTGATTGTGTTGACAACTAAAAATCGAATATTGTGCACCTCCATTAAACTCATAGGAATCAAAGCAAGACTAAACAGTTGTGCGATAGTTTAGTCAAAGGTGTGCGCGGTACTAAAGTATTGTATTATCTGTGCCCTATTCTATCTCAGCACATTTCAAAGGAAAATTATATGCATAAACTGTTAGTAATCTAGCTGTGTGTTTACGTAATTTTCGTCATGTAATCGATAAGCGGTGACGTACTGAATCAGTTACAGCGTTCAGTCGTGATAAGATGACGAAAGTCGATATAGAATTAGTTTAGCAATAATGTCTATATAAAACTTTGTATAAACATACTTAACTATACGTTTACAGTTACCTATACCTTAGTAACGGTGCATAGGTGGGTGTATTGGATAGTAAAATAAGTATTACGCTATAAAATAACAGCTAATAATAATAATAATTTTACGAATACATCATTCATTAAATTTAAAAAACAAAAAAACTGTATCTAAAGACCTCAGTGGTTTACTTTACCTATTCCTACGTTATCAAACAGGGTCTTAACACACAATGTCAGCGGACAAAGTATTCCACTCCCGGTCCCAGGGGATTCCCTCAGAGGGTGTCAAGGACCAGTACGCGGATGGCAAAGCAGCCAGGGTCTGGAAAAAGTATATCGGCGACAGCAACCAGCGCACGCAGAACTACAAAAACTTCCTTACTGGGCTGCTTAGAAAACACAACTGTGTGAAGGTGCTAGACGCAGCTTGCGGCACAGGGTGAGTAGCACAAGACTAGTCTTCACCTAAAGGTGTAGAAGGTAGGTCGTAACACTAAGGTGTAGAAGGCGATAATTCGCCTTACCACCTTACCACCTTAGTGTTACGAATCTTGTAATCAAGATATTTTGAAGTGACTACCACTATCTTCTTGATATTAAAGCTATTTATTTATATGCTAAATATTATTTTTATAACTGAGACTGTCTGTAAAGCAGCATATATTTTAAAGATACATTTTTTTTATAAAAGTTAACCTATAAATCGTAAATGTCAACTCAAAACAAGTGATTATAATGTACGTGATAGGATATCTAATTATATATGATTTTTTAAAAATATTTATCTAAATCAAAACAAGAAAACTGCGTGATAATATTACCCATAAAAAACATGAGTGAACTCTGTTAGATCACGAAATATTTTATCTTTTAACTTTGAAAGAATAACTGTTTTGATAAACTTGCAAAACGTACTAATATAAAGTGATAAGGCAATCAAAAGCCACGTTGTATCCAGCGTACAATGACGTAATACCAATAGCTACGACCATTGTTGTAGTCAGTCTAGACGTGTTGAACGGTTGCTATTTGCTACACTCAAAGAGTTGGATTATCTAGGGAAAAATTGTACGAGAAATTCGACTTAGTCGTATTGTGATCAATATCGTAAAGCATATTACAATATGTATACCATTACGAAATTGCTGTTTTAAGTTCCCGGGAAGATGTTTTTAAGTAAAAAGGGGTTCCGAAACAGGTTCAAAAATAAAACAATCTGGGAAGTTGGGACGTATGTTTGGACGAGTTTTTGAGTCGCTCGACGACCTGTTTTGATTTGCCAATGTAATAAGTTTACATATGCTTTACTACACGTACGAATATTTACGTGACACTCTCGAAAACGTATCAATAATAATAGGAAGTGAAACAAATCATGAAAATTATCAATAAATTTTACATAACATATAAAAAACAATAAGTAGTCGAGCGGTTAAAATGTTCGCCTCTACATCGCAATATCAAGAATCGATTCTAAAATGTGCAATGAAATTTTTTATGTAATATCTTATTTTCATTTAGTTGTCATATATATTATCTATATACGATAATATTTATATAAAACAGTGTAATTATGTTTAAGTATCGGATAAGGCGAGATAGTGTTAACCTTTCGACATAAACAGCTCCGTTATCACATCATTTATCAGCTTGTCGTTACGCTGGAGAACATAACAAAATTAATTTCATATCTTAACATTATTTTCCAAACAATTTCTTCTTGATAATCAACATCTGCACGGTGTAAATCTGTTTGTATTTTAAAAAAACAAGTTTGTATTTTCACTAAAAACAAGAAAAGTAAAACAAAAAAATAATGCTGGCTGTAATAAAATTATGTTACCAAGCGTTTAGCAAACATTTAACACGTCGAATTAACTTGAGATGTAACATTTATGCGTAGGTACTACTCGACAGTGAAGAAATTTTTATCATGTATTAAAAATGGCATTAACTTCTGCAGTTATCATGTTTGATTAACTTCGAAGAAATGCTTTTTTGTCGAAGGCAATTAACAATATACATACACCAAGGTGAAGAAGTTTACAACTATACGTTTTTTAATAATTAATGTTATTAAAAAATTGCTAAGATTCTTGTTTAACGGTTAACGACAATAGTCGATTTGCGGGAATCAAACCCACGAACGACGCACGCATTTACAATCAATCTATTGACGATTTGTTAATGTAAGTGTTTATGTATTTCAGCATTGACTCCATGATGTTGGTGGATGAGGGTTTCAAGGTGGTGTCTGTGGACGCCTCAGATAAGATGCTGAAGCATGCTCTCAAAGCGCGCTGGGAGAAGAGGAAGGACCACAAGTACGATGAGTGGGGTACGTACCATATTAATGTTATACTTGTCATCCTTATTGAACAGTGTTGCCATTAAATCTGTTTGTTATCTAGTTTTAATTAATTAATTCTCTAATTTTTCAGTAATTGAAGAGGCTAGTTGGGAGACATTGCCGGACGACATCCAGTCGTTCCAGCCGGGCGCGACTTTCGACGCGGTGATTTGCCTGGGCAACTCGTTCGCCCACTTGCTAGATGAATTCGAGGACCAGCGCACCCAGAGGATGTGCCTCCGCAACTTCGCCAAGGTGCTCAAGCCTGGCGGCATGCTTTTCATCGACCACAGGAACTACGACGCCATGATCAACAGCGGGGCCACGCCCGGACATTCCATTTATTATAATGTAAGTATCGCCTTTTAAAATTTTATGTTGTTGAGATTTTTTTCATAAAACATAGAAAGTTCGGTAGATATTTATAATTTCATGTCTACTATTTAATTATGACTACGAAGAAACAAAAAACAATGAGTTGTCCTGCTCGAAGGACCAATCTGGACTTCAGAAACGGTCACCTAATTTTTTGCATGTTACAATTATTTTTTCTAGTTTCTGTCCAATATCAATTATATTTATTATATTCTAATCTGTAGAAGACATCCTGATGACATGATAACGTATTATATTTCAGTGCAGCTATCCGGTGGATATTAAGACGTCGGTGCTGGTGGTGCGCGGCAAGCCCGAGCTGGTTGCGCTGGACTACCGCATACTCGCGGACGACGACGCCGAGCTCAGCGAACAAAGGTAATGGGCAAAAAGGCCAATTAATTGTGTCCTGTGTGATGTTTGTTAACTTTCCAGCATGTGGTACAGACGAGTTGATGCATGTTAGGAACCATATGAAAACTTCGATTAAATTGATGTTTTATATTGACAGTATGTTCCGGCTTTGCTACTACCCACACGAGTTGGACAAGTTCACGTCGATGCTGGACGAGGCGTTCGACAACAAGGCGGAGCACAGCATATATGCTGACTTCAAGCCCTTGGACCAAGTAGAGAACCCCGCCTACTATATACACGTCATGCGGAAACCGCTCAATTGATGTTCCTATTTTATTAGTCCAAATAGTTTTATATAAAATAATATTAATAATCGAATATGCTCTAGGACTGTGCATGGCACAAGTAAAAAATTATACTAAATCAAGGTCACAAATGAAATTATTGCCAAGAATCCAAGATGGCGGCAAATTTCACATGACAGTTATTCCCACCATATTTGTACAGATTACGTATTTTTTATTTAAATTCGCCATTTTTGATGCATTGACATGTATATTTTTATGAATTTTAGGATGCGAAGGAAAATTTACAAAACTGTATTTGCTAAATTGTTATATGTTTTAATTTTGCTTGCAATAAAACAAATCTATTTAATATGAGTATCCCAATTCAGATACTTTCTACGTGGATTGAAGCTTTGGATAATTTATAACTCGAATATTTTGTAGCCCTAAATAAATAATTCAAGACAATGTTTGACATTTTGTTGTAATAAAATTGTTGAATTTTTATAAATTTTAATATGAGGTTTTATTTTTCCTATTTCTTAAAACATTTGTGGTTGGATTAGTCTTATTTAAAAAAAAATTACATTTACCACTGTTACAACATACTGTTTGGCCTCAACTTTTGAATATTCCAAGATTATCTATTAAACATAATGCAGGGGGTAAAATAAAAAAGTAGAAATAAAAAAAAAAATGATATAATTTATTTAAATCATACTGCAAATGGAGGATTGAGAATTTAAATTAGAGGGCTCTGGGCTTAAAGTTAATAATTATATCTAAGACTAACTAAAGCTTACGACCCAACAATAATGTTGTTGATGGGAATGTGGATTAATTTAACAAAGAAACCGATGAATCCCATGATGCAGAAACCAATCGCTGTAGCAATTGCAATCTTTTGGAATTCTGAAAAGAAAGAAATAATCTGATTAGTAATATTTTATTATTTAACTAATAAGTTATTGACCAATCCAATTAAGTTAATTTCATGAAAGATGTTCTATCTCCATCATTAAGGTTGTAAAAAGCCATCCATATAAACTTTCACATTTACAATATTAGTAAGATATGGTATTGATATCTTATTCTATTTGAAAACTTTCTTAATAATGAAATATGAATGTTTTTGTACAACTGTTTAGGTAGTGAACTCACAGCAAGAGTCAGAAATATTTTACGTCTATGAATGGGAAACTATTTATGTAGCATTTATATTTGGATTCTTACCTTTCCTGTCTGGTTTTGTGCATCTTCTCACTAATCTAATAGAGTCTTTAGCGAACTGCTTGCCTGGCTCTACAAATTTTGCGATTTGATCCATTTTCTGAAATATGAATTCAATAAATCAATAAAAAGTTTGTCTAGTCTGTCACTTGCCTTCACAACATATATTAATTTTACGCGATATACACTTACGTTCTATTATATACAGCAATTTCACACACTAATTATTGCAATCCTTTGAATAGTTAATGTAAAAGTGCCTACGCTTCACTCTTGTTGGATTTATACAATTGTGACAAGACAATCCAAAATTTAAACGTCAGCCACGTTTCGACAAGCTGCGGCACGTCATCGAATATTCGTTCACCGTTTGGATACAAGAATAAAATTTTTAAATGTCAGTTTTTAAAACATTATTTACTCGAAGAGAAAGTATAAATCGGTAATAAGTAAATTGATTTACTCGCAAATTCACAATTTTCTTACTTAGTTATAAATAGTCGAATATAAACATCTTTTGTACAAGAACTTTTCCATCTGTCATATCAATCAGATGTGTTTGACGTTGACGTCTTGTTTTCTGTTAATGTCATACTAATATTTATTTATCATTTTTTATCAAAAAGTTTATTTTATTTGAAAACTGCAGTTATTATAGAAGTTGATACAGTATATATAAATTAAGCCAAGATACAAATAAGTTTCAATTTTAATCGCAGAATATTAGTTTCTCCGAAGATAAGCCATAATGTACGCGATTGAGAAAAAATTCGAAATCGAAATGAAATTAAAAAAGGTCAGTGGGGATGAAAATTCTTAATTTATTTCTTACTTAGAAAATGCATTGAATTCAAGATATTGTTACTGGGATATTTCCTTATTGTTTTAATGTGGGCGTTTACCTTACTATTTGTTTGTTGTTAGGAGATGACGAACATTCAGGAGTTGAAGGCGGCGGCCAACCGCAGCTCCGCGCTGG